TTTGATTGCAAACAAGTAATCATTAATAGGATGAGTAGTGAATGGATTGTCGAATGCATGGTCTCTCTCGATCATCACTGCAGCAGAACTGCATTGGAAAGAGTTAATGGAATATGCATTTCGTGGTTGACATCAACCCGGAGGGAGACAACCGTTTAATGTGCAACACTGTAGTTAAGGCGAACCATTGCCTGGATTCAAGCCCTTTAGCACTACAACAAAGGGAGGCACTCAAGACCCCGAAGGGACGAATGCCTCCACTTTAATGTTGCCATCAGTTGTGGGAAATGAAAAACACGTGTTCAGTACATACCTTACAGGGAACGGTATGCGGTTTTCCGATTTTGTTACCCCAATAGCCTCTGCGGACGGGAATGACCGACAGTTTGGCGAGAATGATGGCGCCCCTGATGGCAGTGGCTACCTCTTTACTGCACTTCACGCCGAGCCCCACGTGTCCGTTGTAGTCGCCGATCGCCACAAACGCCTTGAAACGGGTCCTCTGACCGGCTCGCGTCTGCTTCTGCACCGGCATTATCTTCAACACCTCGTCCTTCAGCTGCGGACCGATAAAGAAGTCGATTATCTCGAACTCCTTGATGGGCAGCGAAAAGCGGTAGATCTCCTCCAACGACTTGATCTTCCCGTCCTTCACAAGACGTCCCAATTTAGTCACAGGAATCCACTCCTTATCGCCATCTTTGCCGCCACGTCCACGACCTCTGCCTCCGCGGCCGCCTCGACCACCGCGTCCACGGCCTCGACCTCTGCCGCCAAAACCTCCTCTGAATCCACCGCCTCTTTGACCAGCGGCTGGAGCGTTGTCCGCCATCTGACCATCAAATGTACAGACAATACCATTACTACTACTCACTCGAGATATCGTCCAAATCTCTTCAATTAATTCATTTAATCATCCATTTTATGCGTTCATTAAATAAACGACAAAATGAATGTTCAAATGAAGCGAAGAGTGGATTGAATGAAGTGGTAAATTGGGATCAAATGGATAGTGACTTACATTAGTCAGTGATGTGTGAGTAGTGATCAGTGAATGCTATCGACTGAAAGGAAACGGATCTTAACTGAACACACGTTTTCATAGTGTTCTGTGAGTCACGTGACTGAGTGTGCGGTGAGTCTATGGGCGCCATCTATGGGTCACTGCATTGCTTGACATTCATTGCCATTCATTTGCAATCGATTTTCATTTTGGTGTTCATTTTTGCCGTAAGTTTCCACTCATTTGCCACTAATTGTATGAATTAATCGCTATTATTATCATTCAGTTGTCCATCGGATCCAAAATTTGCGTTCAAAATGCTGTCGCGATTGGTCTTCGGCTCAAGTAATGACCATTTGTTACCATTGCTAACTCACACACATTATCGCATTGATCTTCACATGATATCTCGCGACCTCTTAATTGCATTTAATGTCTATTTATATCTCATTTAACAAACATTTCTACAATTGTATTGAAATGCAAACCATTTAATGATTGTGTGAATTGTCTTCAGGGAGTGTATGGAAGGCAGCCAATGGTCTGAAGCCGATGGCGATGCGACCCATGTCTTCGTACCCCCGCGTTGAGGATAACCTCAATCCTCCACTTCTGCCGCAACTGACGGACGTCGTTGAAGGCGAACGCTTTGACCCGAAGAAGCAATCGCTCGAAGAGTTTCTTAACGTGCGATTTGGTCCCGAAATGGCGACCATTAACGACGATAAGAAGCCGGAGCGCGATGTGAAGAACTTCCCGCGCGTACCGGTGCCCATATGGCCCGACAGGACACGACTCTATATGTTACCCGAGTCCTGGTTTGACTACTTCTACCAGAAGACAGGAGTGACGGGTCCTTACGTTTTCTTTGGAGCCTTCGGAACGTTTCTC